ACTGTGTCGAAGCTTGATTCGTTTGGCCAGAGTCACGTGATCAGTGACGTCCGAAGCTTCATTTAGAACCTAACTGCTTCGGTATCTGATTCAACGGTTTATAAGCAGGTGAATCATTCGCGGGATTTGTGGAGTGTTTTGATGGTGACAGATAGCGAACCACTGATCATTCCACTGAGAGATTTGGAGCCAGCGAGGGATAGGAGGTTCTGTTGTGTGGGAGTATTTTGAGTTGATTTTGGTCGATGGGGTGGGTTTTCCAGCTTTGTGTTCTGGCTGTTTGCTTGTGTTTTGTGCGTGTTCATTTTATCTGGAAACGGGAAAAACTTAAAATGTCAAAAAATCTGCTTTTCATAATATAAATATCATTAAATAACTTTAGAAAGACTTCCATTTGACTCGTAACATTTAATGTTATAAAAAGATATATTTTATTTTTAAAATAATCTTAAAATTTTAGTCTACAAAATGTGCAGCAATTTAATTTATTTATTCTCTTTAGCTGATAGTTCGTGGGGCCCAGGTAGACTGTATAACTGCATCTCTACCACTTTTTCTGCACTCAATCCTCTTCGTACAGTGGAACAAATTCTCTTCTTAAATAAAAATGAAAAAGGGTTACCTTAAATGCATCTGCAAGTTCATAAGCATTTTCCCTTTCCATTTCACAATCAATTCTGCCCCCAGGTCAAAAATATGTATAGGAAAATTTCCCATATATAATATTATTTATAAATATACCCGTCTAGCGATTAATTGCACAAGTACATGGAGGCAGGACCTCACAGCAGAAGCATACTCTATAATGTGCATTATTATATGTTTGTTATATGTGACGTGGTATTTTTCAATTATTGTATTTACCAACATCAAGAAGTCACAAGCAAAGAAAGACCAAACCATGGTGCATGTTTAAACAGGGAAAGTTTACTGGTCAAAATTATTTATTAAACAAATAAACCACATTTTTTAACCCCAAAAAATACACGTTCAAAGCAACACAACAGCAGCCTAATATCAGACAGAACATAGGCCTGCAGGTATCAGGCTGTTTTTCTCCTTTATCTCATAGTGGACAGAAATTATTTTTGGAGTGGCACAAATCATTTGTGTGGCATCAAATGTGATGCAGAACAGCTGATTGTTCTGTAAATAGTTTGAAATGTTTATTTTAAAAAAACGCCTTGGCTGCATTTTTAGGTAAACAGCTGCAAAAACTTTGTTTGCAAAACTTTTTTGAAGAAGTAACTATATAATTAATTGCCCAACATTGGTCATTATATACTGTATTTTGCAGACAGAGTTACAGGACTCTCTCCCAGACCACAGACTCATACTCATAATACAAGTCAGAGCTTTATAAAAATAAATAAATAAAAAAGTTGTGTTTTCAAAATTGGAGTTCAAGTTATTCTTACTTCCAATAGTGTTAACATACTACACAGGTCATGAACAAGATTTTTTAAATTTTCATTGTAAGTGGGCTAAAACAGTTAATTAAAAATAGTCTAACATAAATGTAAATGCTGTAGGCAAGGCAAGGCAAGGCAAGTTTATTTGTATAGCACAATTCAACAACAAGGTGATTCAAAGTGCTTTACAGAGACATTAGAAACAAAAACAAATAAAAAAGCATGATTTAAAATTGATTAAAACAAGCAAACAAACAGACTAATTAACAAACAAACAAAACAGTATATAAAATTATTGTAATTTGATTATTTTAATAAACCATGTAACTTGGATGGATTTGATGCTGGTGTGACCACAGTGCACACGTCTGATGTCGCTCACAGTGGTCCAAGGGATCGCTCAGGGAGTTTGTGTGTTCGCTCAGACACATGAAAAATTAGAGGGAACATTGGTCACTTGTGTAAAAAGTTGTCTGCTATTTTACTAACACTGTAAAAATAGTATAAAAAGGGGCGATCGTGGCTCAAGAGTTGGGAGTTCGCCTTGTGAACCGGAAGGTTGCCGGTTCGAGCCCCGGCTCGGGCAGTCTCGGTCGTGTCCTTGGGCAAGACACTTCACCCGTTGCCTGCTGGTGGTGGTCAGAGGGCCCGGTGGGGCCAGTGTCCGGCAGCCTCGCCTCTGTCACTGCGCCCCAGGGTGGCTGTGGCTACAATGTAGCTTGCCATCACGTGTGTGTGAATGACTGGATGTGTAAAGCGTTTTGGGGTCCTTAGGAACTAGTAAAGCGCTATATAAATACAGGCCATTTACCATTTAAAATTGTTTACAAGCAAAAGAAATCAGATTGCACTTAAGTATGTCACTATTGTCTGTCAATAGCCACCATCCACCTCTGTAAGAAGAAATCTATATAGGTTTAATCTAATGTGAAGCTTCTGTTGTCAAAGTGAGTCAGATCCACCTGATATGAATGTGTGCATGATGTGTGCACCTCACATAGCTTGAGAAGCAATGACTGACTCGACTGTTATGTTAAAACAGGTGTAGTGTTGTAGTTGTTTTAGGATTAAACGACCTGCTCCCTGTCTCTGCTTTCATCTAGTGGTTAAAAAATGCCCTAATATATCTGTAATGCTGGGTTACTTTAAATGAAAGCAGGTGATATTCTAAGTTCAAAAGTAAATAACAAGCTAATACAATAAGAATTCTACAAAACCTGTTAGCTAAACTGTGGACGTGAGCTCTGTTATACCAGCTGTTTATGGTTGGTTATTAACATTATTAATTCATTATACCATGGCAGCTCATTGTAAATTTTATGAAAAGTGATAAGAACTCTGTTTATGATTAATGTTATTGAGAATGCTGTTAAATATAAAAATAAACATATTCTGTACTGGGTTTTTTTTTTCTTTTTTTGGTACCGATTGGAAGAAAACAAATTCTGCATTGCATATTATCTTGTTAATATATATTTTTATCTAGCTATTGCACACATATCAATCTTCTCTGTATTTCTTTAAACGTTTGGATGATTTAAAAAAATATGAATGCTACAGGTGAAAGTTTAAAGGCTACAGTCTGTAAAATTAATTGTGAAATCTAAAGGGAGACGTCGTAGCACACCCACTCGGTTGGTTGCATCGGACAACGCGCGCGCTACCGTACTGGACAGGGCGCGCGGCTTTGATCGAGTGAATGGTTCGGGGTTTGCCCCCAAACGCCTCTTTGATTGGTTCTTTTCATTTCGATGGAGCTCATTGAACAGAAATGTGTCTCCTGTAGGAGGTAAGGGATCAGTCTTTCGTGATTTCCTCGATAGCTCACGTCAGTTTGCGCAGTTGGCGTTAACGGACTGAAAGCTGCAACTGGGAAGACGGGAAGAAGCTGGCTGGCCGCTGGAGAACCTCGGACTGCTTTTATTAAAACTTCGGAAGCTTAAAACCTTTTCTGCGTTTGTAACTCGCGGTAGTTATGATAACGATTTACAAGACTTAACGTCTCTTTATTTATTTTATCCTTATGATCTGAACAGGAAGTACAAGGACAAGCCAAGGCTGACGCAGACAGATTTGATTAATAAATCCCTGCAGCCGCTCCTTAACATAACGACGTATCCGCGTCTGTCTGTGAGCAAACAGGAGAAATGTCTGTGCTGTGTCTGTAGTTTTTTATCTGTATGGGGCATGTTTCGCATTTTGTGGGTCTCAGTAAAGTTTATTTGAAAAGGAGGGAGGGGACTCCCAGCAAGTCCCAGCCTGCCTTATCATGCGTTCAAGTCCTGTAGAAACTGAAGAGTGGCAAGTCCCTCCTCCCTGCAGTCACTGACAAATGTAGTAGGTGGTGGCGGTCCTAGCCTGTTTGGCGCCCTGGGGGAACACTCCCTCTGCCCCCCCCCCCCCACACACACACACACACACACACACACACAAAACATATTAAGGATTGTACATTAACATAAAAACATAACATTAATGTAGTTACTATGGACTTAATGCATACATATTATTAAAATATGGGCTATAACAGTTGTATTGATGTATAGCAACTTGAAATGCTCCCACAAATGGCACTACAACATGTAAAAAAATAATATAAGCTCTGGCGGACTTGGTTCTATGGTAGGTCTTAAAGGGTTAAATAAATATCGTCAAATAATCGAGATCTCAATTTCAGTTAAAATAATCGTGATTATCATTTTTGCCATAATCAAGCAGCCCTACCCATACAGAAAAGAAATAGTAAAAACTTATATGTGATTATAATGAAACTTGTATGTTTTGGATACTTACTAAAACAATGTATGAAAGTAATGCGAAAGTGGCCACTTTCATGAGTAAATCATATAAGGCTTACATGATTTACTCATGAAAGTGGCCACTTTCGCATTACTTTCATACATTGTTTTAGTAAGTATCCAAAACATACAAGTTTCATTATATAATTTTTCAAGGGATCTTATATCTGTTTTCACACTTATATGCTTTTCATACAAGTTTCACACAAGACAGATACAAACTTTATAAGATTTATATATATCTTTTCCATATGGGTAATCTTTTGCTCGTTTCTCCTCCTTTTCTTTTCTCTTTTTTTCTAAACTGAGGACCTGGTGGCTTTGAACTTTTCTTGTCCATCTTCCATTGGTTTTAATTTTGCACTCCAGTATGAACACCCATCCCTCATTCAAATCATGAATACATAATGGACTTGGATTTACAACATTATAAATGAAATGGACTCTATTTGGAAGCAGCAGGGCCCCCTCCAGTCCTTTCGACGGCTTGTGTGTGAGACTTTAAATCATCAAACTGTAAATTTTACATTGTGATTGATCCCTTTACCCCTAGTCCTAAAGTGTATATTTATTTTCTTACTCTTCTTATATATCCTCCTGAGACCCAGCAGTTCATTTTTGTGCACTGTAGTACACATTTAGTTTTTGCTTGTATCTCTCATACTCTACATGCCACTCTGCTAAGTCCTGTTGTTTCTTAGAGAGGACAAGTGTACCTTTAAAATGATGTCACATGTGTGGGGTGTGGCCTTGCCAACTATCCTTTTCCCTCCTTTTCAAAATGGCTGGCATCCCTACAAGCACATTTTATGGAAGAAGGAAAGGTAAGCATGATATTTACATTTAAAGTGTTTTTGCAACTCATATTTTGATAAATTTTCAAAAATAAACATCTAGTAAGTAATTTGAGGAAGTTTTCAGAACTAAGCTTATTTAATTTCACAGAGCAAATGACTAATTTATTAATGTGTACTCCAGTGCACGTCAGGACTTTGTACTTATTTTTATTTCACATTTTTCTAGTAGACAGCTCTTTGACAGAGGCAGAGAGAATTCTTAACAGAATCATTGAGGGAGATTCAGACATAGATCTTTCAGAAGATGAGAGTCATGTGACCCAGACAGGAGAGGGTGAGAACCCAGATGAGGGACCAGACGAAGATGACCAAGATGCAGGGCCAGATGTAATGGAGAAAGACACAGGGCCAGCTGAAATCTGCCGTCGTCCTATCTGGTCCAAAACCAACATGTAGGAGAATCTGGAATTTTTGATTTTGAGTACAAAAGTACCAGTAACATACAGAAATGTTTTACAGTAAATTAATTTAACTTGTAAAGATAGTGTAAAAGTGTTTTAAGTGAACTATATCGGATATTTGAGTATAAATAATTTTTCTGACTTTTGTTTTGCTAAGTAATTTTTCTTTATCTTAGGTTCATGCCTGTGTTGGAAGAATGCAGAATTCGAGATGATGGCACACTAATGACACGTAATGATTGGAGCCCACAGCAGTATTTCCAGCAGTACATTGATAAAAAACTAATTCAGGACTTGTCCTTCTTCACCAACCAGCGTATGGTACGGGATTCAGGGTGTAGTTTAAACACAACACCAGAGGAGATCAATACCTTTTTAGGAATCTCTGTGTACATGGCATGCCTTGGATATCCGAGAATTAGAATGTACTGGGCTGCCAAAACAAGAGTCGCAATTATAGCTGATTCCATGACACGTGATCGTTTCTACAAGATCAGGTCCTCGCTGAAAATGGTTGACGATCTCAGTGTGCCAGAAAGCGAAAAGAAAAAGGATCCCCTGTGGAAAGTCAGACCAGTTCTAAAGAGGGTCCTCCAAGGTTGCCTCAATCTGCCCAGGCCAACAAAGGTCTGTATTGATGAACAGATCGTTCCATTCACTGGCCAATGTCCAGTTCGTCAGTTTGTACCTGGAAAGCCAAATCCAACAGGATTAAAAGTGTTTGTTCTTGCAAGTCCAGGTGGTTTAGTGCTTGATTTTGAAACCTACATGGGAAAGAACACCTTCACTCAAGTCCAACAGATGGGAATAAGTGGAAATGCAGTCTTGCGTTTAACAGAGACACTTCCTAGAGGATCACTAGTCTACTTTGACCGGTATTTTACCACCATCAGTCTTCTGGATGCTCTTAAAGAAAGGGGCCTTCTAGGTACAGGAACAATTCAAAAGAATCGAATCCCAAAAGAGTGCCACTTCACTGCTGACAACATCCTGAGCTCAAAACCAAGAGGTTCGTCAGAAATGATTGTACGGAGACCTCATGAAATAGCAGTCACCAAGTGGATGGACAACAAGCCTGTTGTCATGGCATCAACTGCTCATGGAATTGAGCCCCAGGATACCTGTTCCAGATGGTCAAAGAAAGAACAGACAAATCCAAGTCCCAAGACCTGCAGTGGTTGCAGAATATAATATCAACATGGGAGGGGTTGACCTATGTGATCGCATGCTCAGCTTCTACAGAATATCTAGCCGGACCAAGAAGTGGACTGTTCGCACCATACTTCATTTCATTGATCTGGCCATCACCAACTCATGGCTTCAATATCGACAAGGCAGCGAGGCCATGCAACAAGCTGAAAAGAATACACAGTACCTGGAGTTCAAGCTCCTCTTGGCTGAAGAACTGATAAACAAGGGACAAACATGGGAACAAGACCTAAATAATACCAGTGATGAAGAGTTCTCTCCAGAAATCAAGAAAAGGAAGCCCCAACCAGATGAGAGTGTAAGAAAATATGGTGCACTCCACTTGCCTGAAATGGTTAACAGCCCAAGGCCTTTCAGGTGCAGAATGCTTGGGTGCAACAGTAAAACATATGTGAGATGTGTGAAGTGCCAAATGTTCCTCTGTGTATCCAAAAAATCACAGTGCTTTCTTAGATATCATAAATGAATGGACGTTTGTGAAATAAATAAAAAAAACCCAGTGCAATCAGTTGTTCCTAGACGAATGGCCTACAGCCAGTGAAATGTCAGTGACTTCTAAGTTGACCCATGATCTACTGTTTTGTGATGTTTTTATGTAAATATGTTTTAAAATCCTGCTTACAAAGATTTCAGTGCAGCATTTAATTTTTTTAATCAGCTCTTGAATTTTGTTAGTTTCACATTCGGGATCAATGAACTCCCCTTGTGCACTGGAGTGCACATGTTGTAAAATTTAAATAAAATCTGTTAAAAACAAAATTGTTTTTGCAATGTGTTTTTTACCAAGCCAATACTTGATTTATATTAAAAAAATCAAAATCAAAATACTTTTTTTTCCTGGGTCTCAGGAGGATATATTGTTTGTTTACTTCCACTGCTGTAACTGGAGCCTCGTCCTCTCGTCTCTCTATATACTGTACTTATATAGCGGAGATGACAATAAAGTTTTACTTTGACTTCAGCAGCGAGCAGGTGCACCGAGGGCTCTCGCGCTCACTTTTCATGTACAGAATTTCGAAAAAACATCGAATTATAAGCCTGTATTATAATGTATAAGGTTTTCACTCAGCATGGTTTGCAGCATGTCCTTCAAAAGAAAAAAAAAGAGTGATACATACTTTCAGTTATCAACTGAAATGTTTGAAAATGGACTGGAGGTTCCAGTTAAGCTGAATGTATCATGTGTGCTGTGCTTCATGACAGGAGGATTTCAGTTGATGTGCACACGAATGATTTGTGTTTCCTCTGCAGGTGAAGGTAGAAAGTGTGTGTGAGCTGTTGTGGATGTGAATTCAGCAGCATGGATCAGTGTGAGGACAGAGAGGAGGGAGTCCCTCCCTCTAAAACCACTCTGTGTGGGGAACATGAGAGCCAGACCAAAGCTCAGAGGTGAGATGACCATCTCTAACTGTCCAGGACTCTAATCCATGTCAAAGCTCAGCACTCACATCACTGCTCCATCATTATTCACAGGAACCAATCTGGAGCTGAACCCAGCTGTGTGTCCTTAAAGAGTGACGGGTCAAAGAGTATTGGTGGCAATTTTAAAGAACAACCCTTTGCTGCAGAGAGGTAAGCTGATAGTAACGTGAACTCTGATAGCAAACAATTTGGTGTCTGATTTAAATGAACTACTTGATGATGTTTCATTGTCGCCAAAGTAATGGTAAATGGCCTGCATTTGTATAGCGCTTTTCTAGTCCATAGGACCCCAAAGCGCTTTACACTACATTCAGTCATTCACCCATTCACACACACGATAGCAAGCTACATTGTAGCCACAGCTGCCCTGGGGCGCACTGACAGAGGCGAGGCTGCCGGACACAGGCGCCACCGGGCCCTCTGACCACCACCAGTAGGGGTTAGTATCTTGCCCAAGGATATTTGGCATGCAGCCAGGATGCAGCCTGGGATCGAACCACCGACCTTCTGATTAGTGGCCGACCTGCTCTGCCACCTGAGCTACAGCCACCCCATATACGGCCTCCCTATACGGGGTCATATGACTGTTGGGATTTTTTTGTGTAAATCTGTAGTTCTCCTTAGATCTTCACTGAGTTCTTTGAACTTTCCTATTGTGCAAAGTATTAGTGAATCTAATGAGTGCTTTAAAACAAATCCCTTTTATACTGCCAAATAGAAACCTATCAGAAATTATCAGTTGGACCTGGCTGCAACAACAGTTTTATGTTTAGAAATCAAGGATATACTGTCCACTTTCATATCTGTCTCTTTGGCAGTAAGTGGTTCTTTGTTGTTTGGTTTGTAAAGCACTTTATAAGTGAGGCCTCGCATTACTTTTCTTCACTTATGATACAACCCAATATCACGACAAAGTGTGTAATAGATACGCTGTGTGTGCACTGTGTCCATTTTACACTTTGCTATGAGAACAGAGCCAGACCAAAGCTCAGAGGTGAGATGACCATCTCTAACTGTCCATGACTCTTCTCCATGTCACAGCTCAGCACTCACATCACTGCTCCATCATTATTCACAGGAACCAACCTGGACCTGAACCCAGCTGTGTTTCCTTAAAGAGTGACTGGTCAAAGAGTATTGGTGCTAATTTTAAAGGACAAAACTCTGCTGTGGAAAGGTAATCTATATCTGTATATATTTTTATTTTTTCAGTAAACTTTCAAACACTGTTAAAAAAAACAATTCTTTGATCTTCGGGCTGAAGGAAGAACAACACTCGGTGTTTTAATGCCCACTCAACAATCTCTTTAATCAATACAATTCTCTTTATTCCATACAAACTCTTTGAGCAATACAATCATCTGGACGGGAGATGTGCAGAGGAGGAGGTCCTGCAGATCTTGAAGTGTCTCACAGTTACACACACTCTTATAGCCTCGACCCCCACCCGAGTCATAAAACCTAAACATTCACATTCTTTCTCTCCCTCTCAGGCTATGTCCATCATTTTCTCTCCGTTTTGGCCTCCTGTCCACATTGAGACGGCATTTTTGTTACGGTCCTGGGTCAGTGACCCAGTGTTTTGAGTTTCTTGCGCCTCTGAGTTTTTTGTATTATGTTCTTAGTTCTCTTTGTTGTCCCAGCTTATTCTTTAATGTAGTGTCTTAGTTTCGTTTTCTTGTATTCTGTTTAGTTCTCTGAGTATTTAGTAGCTGCCCTCTGTGTCTCTTTGTTGTTGGTGTTGTCTGTGTTTCTTAGTTGCTCTGTCTCCCCTAGTCTAGTTCGCGTCTCTGTGTCATACTTCCTGTTTTACGTTGAAGGTCCGTGTCTTATGTGAATGTGTTCAGTTTACGCTTCCTTGTCTCGTCAGTTCTTATTTCCCCCAGCTGTGCTCTCCTTCTGTGTCTCATTCCCCTCGTTACTTCCCAGTGTATTTAAGCCCTGTGTTTCTCTGAGTCAGTGTCGTGTTGTCCCTCATGCTGTGTGGATCTCCCTGTGAGTTTTAGGTTGGTGTTTCCTAGTTTAGTTTGTATTTTTTTTTTTTCCCCTGCCAGCCAATAAAGCTGTGACTTTGAGTTGACACCTTGAGTCTGAGCGCCTGCATTTTGGGCAACTCTGTCAAAATGACTGAAAACGCTAGTGTGGACACGGAGCATTTTCGTATGAAAACGCCGTTTTCGAATATCTCCGTGCTAGTGTGGACGTAGCCTTAGTGAGCTTCAGTTATGACCTTGGCTTTCAGCATGTTTTGTTCTCCCTAATCAGACAAAGCGGGCCGTGATTCTATGCAAACAGTATTTCTTTATAAATCAGCAATATAAGGTATCATGAAACAGTGTAATATTCCATTCCTGTTTTTTCTCAAAATAAACAATCAATTAATTTTATTACATGTACATGGGGATTTTAACAGCTTAGCATCCAACATCAAAATCCGCTGGGGCAATCCCAGCAGCACACATTTATACACAGACATCAACAACCTTGTGATCCCTCTCTGTCTCCTGCCTCCCTATCTTGTGTCCTTGCTGCCCACTTCTTCGCACACTATATTCTCCTGAGTTTGGCTTACCAACTCCTTATCCCACTAACGGCAGCTTTCTGTCGCTCCTGCTTCTCACATACATCTCTGACCTATTCTTCCAATTCTATGTGTGTGCTCGATGTGTGAATGTTTAGTAACTTGACCTATGACCTACTTAAATGAATAATGAATATAATGCTTTACCATGGTTCAACAACTAAATCCCAACTACTGCGATAATACGATAATCTATTCTCACACAGCTCAGCACTCACATCACTGCTCCATCATTATTCACAGGAACCAACCTGGACCTGAACCCAGCTGTGTGTCCTTAAAGAGTGACTGGTCAAAGAGTATTGGTGCTAATTTTAAAGGACAAAACTCTGCTGTGGAAAGGTAATCTATATCTGTATATATTTTTATTTTTTCAGTAAACTTTCAAAAACCTAACCACTGATGTAAGAGGCTTTTCTGTCAGAAAGCTGGTCCAGCAGGTGTAAACTTTGTACTTTGGCTCAGAAAACAATGTTGGTAACAACCAGTCGAGTGGCATCAGGTCTTGCTAAGTGGAGGCAGCCCTTACTGCTATTAAGAATTGGATGTCAATAGAGACTCTTTTTTTTTTAACCAGCTGCTCCTAATTGCCCCACCATTTAGCCACCGAACAAAGGGCTATGGGGCTTTTGCCATTTTACTGGCAGCCTTTGTTTTAGAAGCCTTTGAAGTTAAAATCTAAGCCACAAATCACTTATAGGTTTCTTTCTTGATGGCTTAGGTAAAGTCCAAGAGACTATTTTGCACCTAGTAGCCACAAATCAATTATTAATGTCTCAAAGAAGTCCATCAGTGCCGTGATTCTATCTTATATGAACATCTGTCTTAGCTGCTGGTAATCAAGCTAAAACAAATCATTCAACAATTCAAATCATCACTGTAAAAAATTCTAACACTGGTAAAACATGATTACATGGTTTTCCTTTCCTCTTAATTAGGAAGGTGGGATTGTAAAATAGTTTTTCTGAGAAGTCTTTTTTTTCTCTCTTATTTATTCATCTCTACAGAGAGAACAAGAATACCTCAGAGGTTCCCAGTGATCAGCCTCCCCAGGAGCATCAAGCACACCTGGACTCCATATTTATGGTCTGTAAATATACAAACAGTACTTTACATCTGTTCACAGTCATTTCTTAAAAATTTTATGCATGTTCTTACAACCAAACACAGAAGCAAAAAGCGTGACTATTTTTGAAAATAGCTTCAAAATTCAGATGGTGCAGCAGCAAAAATATAACTGTATGGTATTTACATTGTATTTCAAGCTCTAATATTTCTAAACCACTTGTTAGTTTTATTTAAAAAATACTTTTAAATCGTTACAGAAAGTTGTATTATAATAAAGTGGAAGCAACTGGAAATGAAAGTCTGACTGCACTGTGCCAAATGTAAAGTTTAGTGGAGGTTTGATTATGGGATTTGTTTGTTTTTCAGGGTTGGGGTTCGGCTCCTTAGTGCTGATCCTGTGTTTTTTCACAAAATTGTGTGGTATGACCAAAGGTCTCCACTTTGGTGTCATCCATTCAGAGTCTTGTGGTTTGTTTGGATGCAGCTTTACAAACCTAAACTGTGCTGTTTTCTTCTCAGAAAGGAGAGCTTTCTCCTGACAACCCTTCTAAACTTGCAATATTTGTTTCTCCTTTTTCTAAATGTACTGTCATAAACTTCAACTCTTTAGCTCTTGTGTTTTTTTTTGCTGTTTCTTTGAGAATTGTACAGTCTAACCAGGTTTGCCGCGACATCCACACCTTGGAAGACTAGCAACTGACTTATTATTTTCCACTTGTGAATAATCTTTAGGATGATGGCCTTCAAATTGTTTTCAACTTGCTTTAAAACTCTTCCCAGATTGATGGGTGTGAATGCCCACATAAATGCAGCATTGAGTGCAAAACAAAAGAAATGGTGTATGCAGACCTGCAGTGCTCAGCAGGAATCTTAACATTCCCTGAGACATTTTCCTCCATCACCAAGGTCTAAAGTTAATTTATTCAGCTTTTAAGGGGGATCTAAAAACAGCAAACTGACACCACACGAAGCCCTGGAATGATGTATAAATAAAACAGATTTTAATTCCAGCTGGATTGTAATTGTTTTCAACATGGTTCTGATGTTTGTATCTATGATTTCAGATTTATTGAGTCATTCATATAAATTTCTGTTCCAGCTCCTGGAGGAGAAAATCATCACTTTTGTGAAGAATGAGTTAAAGAAGATCCAGACAGTTCTGTATCCAGATTATTCAGAATGCTTAAACTGCCAGACGGAGGATAAGGAGATTTTGGAGTGTGAGGATGAAGAGCAAAGGCGTACCAACAGAGAGGCATTTATAAAGATCACACTGCAGTTTCTGAGAGGAATGAAGCAGTATGAGCTGGCTGACCGTCTGCTGAGCAGTAAGAGGATTTTTCTAAACATAGAAGCTGCTGGTTATACTAAGACATTTACTAATGTCTGAAGGATTACACCAGCACATATGTAAACACTCATTCTTTAGAAGAATTAAATGGTGGGATATTTAATATATAACTTAATCAGGTAACATATTGTCTGTTTTCAGGCAGATTTGCTCCAGTTTGTCAACATAATCTTAAATCTCAACTGAAGAAGAAGTTCCAGTGTCTGTTTGAGGGGATCGCTAAAGCAGGAAATCCAACCATTCTGAATCAGATCTACACAGAGCTGTACATCACAGAAGGGACTGCAGAAGTCAATGATGAGCATGAGGTCAGACAGATTGAAACAACATCCAGGAGACGAAAACCAGATGGACCAGAAACAACAATCAGACAAGAAGACATCTTTAAAGCCTCACCTGGAAGAGATGAACCAATCAGAACAGTGTTGACAAAGGGAGTGGCTGGCATTGGGAAAACAGTCCTAACACAGAAGTTCACTCTAGATTGGGCTGAAAGCAAAACTAACCAGGACATCAAGTTCATATTTCCATTCACTTTCAGAGAGCTGAATGTGCTGAAAGAGAAAAACTTTAGCCTGCTGGAACTTGTTCATCACTTCTTTACCAAAACTAAAGAAGTAGGAATCTGCAGCTTTGAAGACTTCCAGGTTGTCTTAATTTTTGATGGCCTCGATGAGTGTCGACTTCCTCTGGACTTCCACAAAACTAAAATCCTGACAGACCCCACTAAGTCCACCTCAGTAGATGTGCTGCTAACTAACCTCATCAGAGGGAACCTGCTTCCCTCTGCTCACCTCTGGATAACCACACGACCTGCAGCAGCCAATCAAATCCCACCTGGGTATATTGACATGGTAACAGAGGTGAGGGGGTTCACTGACCCACAGAAGGAGGAGTACTTCAGGAAGAGATTCAGAGATGAGGAGCAAGCCAGCAGGATCATCTCCCACATCAAGACATCACAAAGCCTTCACATCATGTGTCACATCCCAGTCTTCTGCTGGATCGCTGCTACAGTTCTGGAGGATGTGGGGAAGAAGAGAAAAGAGGAAACAAGGACAGCACTACCTACAACCCTGACTGAGATGTACATCCACTTCTTGGTGGTTCAGGCAAAAGTGAAGAAGGTCAAGTATGATGGAGGAATGGAGACAGATCCACCCTGGAGTCCAGAGAGCAAACAGATGGTTGAGTCTCTGGGAAAACTGGCTTTTGAGCAGCTGCAAGGAGACAACCTGATCTTCTATGAATCAGACCTGACAGACTGTGGCATCGATATCAGCGCCGCCTCAGTGTACTCAGGAGTGTTTACACAGATCTTTAAAGAGGAGAGAGGGCTGTACAAGGACAAGGTGTTCTGCTTCATCCATCTGAGTGTTCAGGAGTTTCTGGCTGCTCTTCATGTCCATCTGACTTTCATCAACTCTGGAGTGAATTTACTGGAAAAGCAACAGGAAACCACCCAGAATTTGCAAGAAGAAGAATCTGCAGACACTTGCTTGTACAAGGGTGCTGTGAATAAGGCTTTACAGAGTTCAAACGGAAAACTGGACTTGTTCCTCCGCTTCCTCCTGGGTCTTTCACTTCAGACCAATCAAAGTCTTTTACATGGGCTGCTAGAACAGACAGGATGTAGCTCACAGACCAATCTGGAAACAGTTCAACACATAAAGGAGAGGCTCAGTGGAAATCTATCTGCAGAGAAAAGCATCAACCTGTTTCACTGTCTTAATGAACTAAATGAACATTCTATATTGGAGGAGATCCAACAGTCCCTGAGATCAGGAAGTCTCGCTGCTGATAAACTGTCTCCTGCTCAGTGGTCAGCTCTGGTCTTTATCTTATTATCATCAGAAAAAGATCTGTTTGTGTTTGACCTGAAGAAATACTCTGCTTCAGAGAAGGCTTTCCTAAGGCTCCTGCCAGTGATTAAATGCTCCAGCATAGCGCTGTAAGTCATAAAGTTTTCATGATTTAAACACACTGTTTTTGTTATTCTGTTTAGCACAGTTGTGTGCTGTCTAGTTTGATGTAAGATTTATGTGCCAATTAGAAGCTGCACTTAATGTATAAGCTCATTATGTCATCGGGTTTCTTAGGGTAAACTGGTAACGATTTAGCATGTGCTAAGTTGATGATTTATATAGTCCATGTATAATCAAAAGTTCATGCTGTGCAGTCACATATTATTATTTTCTTGTCCATTGTTGTCTCCTCAGACTTGGTGGATGTAACCTCTCAGACAGAATCTGTGAAACTCTATCCTCACTACTCAGCTCCCGTTCCTCTTGTCTGAGAGAGCTGGACCTGAGTAACAACAACCTGAAAGACTCCGGAGTGAAAGTACTGTCTGGGGGACTTGAGGGTCCACACTCTAAACTGGAAAAACTTAGGTTACGATTCTGCAAATCTTTCATGATATGTGTAAAATTGTTCTAGTTGAGATCCTAGATATTACATATTAAATTATCAGGACTTTCTCACTACTTTCTTTTCATGTGGTCTGTTTAGGATCTTTTTTTTCTCTTTAATTAAAGAAATGACACTCATGAAGCACTTTGAGAGTTCAGGTAGAGTAGACAAGCGCTATCTAAGAACCAGTACATTTACCATTTACCACGTGAGCACCAGTTCAATTTTTTCTAATTGTTTAATAGTTTCTGTCATGTATGCTGTCTGCAGATTGTCAAGTTGCTCAGTCACAGAAGAAGGTTGTAGTGCTCTGACATCAGCACTGAACTCCAACCATTACCACCTGAGAGAGCTCGACCTGAGCTACAATAATCCAGGAGAGGCAGGGGTGAAGATGCTGAAGCAGCTCCGACTGGACACACTCAGGTGTGTAGAGGCTGTTTGCAGCCACAGTGTCTGATAGAGGAAGATGATTTTGAAAGTTTTTCTTACAGTCACACATAAAGTAGCCTTTTTCATTTAGCTCATTATAGGAATTCTACTTGAACGTGAACAAGAAATAAGTGAAGGGTTTGTGAATCTGTAGCTTCGTAGTCTCACGCAGCCTATTTGTCCATATGCTTATGAATATAAATGCGAACCGAATAAGCAGAGGGTATGTTTTGAGGATTCATATGTTCCCCACCACCTCTGGATAACAAGCCATGCCAAGTGTTTTGGGAGGGGTTTGTTTTGTTGTTGTTTTTTGTTGTTTTTTGTACTGGTTTACTACTTTACAAATGACTAAGCTGCTAATGTTTTATTACTATATTTGGCTGCTTTTAATGATATGGACAAGGAGGATTGAAAGTGGACTGCATTACTTTGAACCACTATTTCCAAAGAACATGCTTAGGTTGGGCGATATGTAAAAAAACTTCCAACCGATGCAGGTGATATATTCACGTATGCACAGACTTTTTGATGGGCGGAGCAATGTAATGATGCACATATTGATTTGCGCGTTTAGAACACAGATGAAGTCCAAACATGGACAAAGTAATTGCCAAATTGCACACTGGAGGAAAAGGCACAGATAGAAATAGACTGTTACCTCAGTGAAGAGTTGTTTGGTCGAGTGTGTAAAACAGATAAACACTGGAAATGCCTGTAAACACGGTTATAGTGGAAAAAATAAGCCAGTTTCTCTTTGTTTCCTTCCCCACCATAGTGGGTTTTTTTATTTGATAAAATGCTTTTGTTTTTTTTTAACATAGGCTACTGCTGTTCTTTCTTTCTCTTATTTGAGTAAATCGCTCCAGCACTCTAAGGAGGGTGCATTTGCTCACAGCTGAAGGAGGGTGACGTTAAAACAGCGCTATTATTTGTTTCTGTTGACTGCTTCTGTTAGCTTCAGCCAACATTATTAGCAAATAAATAAATAAATCACCCTTAAAAACGATTGAGCCTATTGTCAATAGTCGATATATTCCTCCAATCGCCCAGCCTTAGTGCATGCAAATAATTTGTATTTCAGTTCTCAACTTTAGACTTTAACTTTGTTATACAGGTAAAACAATTTATTGCAATTAAATTACAATCAATTGATTATTATTGTATTCACCCTCTGGAGTCGACGGACGCACCGGCGCATCAAAATCACATGACCAATTTAAGACGACACAGCTACAAGATGCTGCGACTCAGTCTCCATTTCAATTTGGGTCGAGAGTACGGACTTCAAACGATATACCAGTTTTTGAATTGTGTCAATGGGCCACGTAAAGCCAGGGTTATGATAAAAAATACACGCAATGTTTTTTCTGAACAAAACAGTGGTGTTTACAGCGGGAAGAACGGTAAAAACTGTGTTTTCTACAGACAGCGCTAGCAAACACTCGCCACTTGCGAGTGAAAAAAAGGAAAAAACACCCCTTCCCTATTGGTGTTAGAGTTTACCATGCGGCACTTGGTTGTTTAGGGAGAAGGGGAAGTTTTAGGAGTGACACCTGCGACGGAAAGCGGGCGAGCAAAAGAAAGAGAGAGAGCGAGTTTTCATATGTGAGACATTAGTGACGTTTAGCGTGTTTGGAGGCTAGAGTTAGTGTGTTGTGTAGTTATTGTTTTGTATTGTGTGTCAGTTATACTGCTGAATGTCACATTTGCTCCAAAAAAGCCATCAAATGCAGATTCCAGTGTAAACGCTGTTCCCACATGGAAAACAGGACTGATACACCTCCTGCTGTCAGACCTGCAGGGTTTAGGCCTGTGGTGTTCTCCTCTGTTTTATACTGAACACAAACTAGTTTTTTGGACTCGCACAAATAATTTGTGTGCCTTCTCATCTGATGCAGCACACATGATTGTTCTGTAAATAGATTTAAATGGTTATATAAAAAACGCCTGAGGCCTTGGCTGCATTTTTAGGTAAAAAGTACCATATAACTTTGTTGTTTGCAAAACTTGTGCATATTTTTTAGAAATGTACAATTTCTATTTGCATTTCAAGTTATGAAAATGATTCGTTAAACATGTTTGTGGGTTTTACAGTAAAAAATATAACTTTTTTCTACTCAGATAATTTTTTTTTGTCTGAATTTAGATCAATTGTGCTAATATAGTATGCCAAAATGAAAAAATAACTCAAATTTCAAATATTTGAGGTTGTGCTGAAAATAATGATACAAAATAAGGCAAGATAAACAGTTTTTAAAGGTGAAATATAGAGGTAAAATCAAAAGTAGTCAAAAACGGCCAGTTATACCCTGGACCCCAGAGGGCTAATATTATTGTAATAAAAATGAAGTATAAAGTATAAAATGACCATAAATACGTCACTGTGATTTAGTCGGATGTTAAAAAATATAAATTTTATTTTGTACAAATAATGCACAAAGTGTATAAATAATAAAATGTCTTAAGGATATTTGGAATAGACCAGCAAGGATTTAGCATGTGCACAGTTAATAATCAGTATAGACTGCACATTTTAACGTTTTTTTGTTTGTTTGTTTGTTTATTTTGGTTTGTGTGTTTTTTGGGGTTTTTTTACCTCTTGTTGTCTCAACAGACTAAGTGGTTGTAACCTCTCGGACAGAATCTGTGACACTCTATCCTCAGTTCTCAGCTCCCACTCCTCTAGTCTGAGAGAGCTGGACCTGAATAATAATGACCTGAAGGACTCGGGAGTGAAAACACTGTGTGGTGGACTAGAGAGTCCATACTGTAAACTGGAAATATTCAGGTCAGGATTCTTCAAACTTTTCATATAAAGTCCATTTAAATCATATTCAATGCTAACCTATGTGGCTAACCATGGCTAACCAGGACTATTGTTGATTTATTCTGCTATATTCTGCTATATTATTAAAACTTTATCTAATAACAGGATTTCTTTTCACACAGACTGTGTAGCGTCGATTTGTTGTTTTTAATTTGATGTAATTTATTACAGATGTTCACATTTTCCTCAGAATCAACTAGTAATTCACACCAGGCTTTTTCATTGAGAGTAATTATCTGGTCAACTTTTTAAGTAGTGCTTAAATCCCTACAAAACTAATGACACTCATATGAGCATCAGTTCTACTTTGTGTAGGACTTGTCCTAATTCTTACTTTAATAGTTTCATTAATTGAACAAATAAACTTTTAGCTCAAAATATCTCTGTTAAAGCTAACTCTGCGCTTCAATCGATCACATATTTGTTAAATGGAGGTATTGTTTCTCGCTATTTGACTGCGTCACTGTTCTCTTATAGTATCTGTCACATGTGCTGTCTGCAGATTGTCAGGCTGCTTGATCACAGAAGAAGGTTGTACTGTTCTTATCTCAGTGCTGAACTCCAACCATTCCACCCTGAGAGAGCTCGACCTGAGCTACAATGATCCAGGAGAGGCAGGGGTGAAGCTGCTGAAGCAGCTCCAACTGGACATACTCAGGTATGAAGTGGCCTTTGGCAGCCAAAGTGCCTGGCAATGGAGAAAGAGACACTCGAGGAAATAGGAGAAATTTCTTCACTCATCAAGGAGCTTTTTTTTTTATATATATATAAATTTTTGCTCCAAGCCATATAAAAGAAAAACAAGTCTTACATTTGTGTGAATGTTAAATAAATGAACACTGGTTTGTTTGTTTGTTTGTTTTGTTTTTTTACTTTTAGTACCACACACTGCTGTGCTTGAGGCTAGAGTGGTTTATTTAATATCACATTAGGATTTTTATTTGATTGTTTTGCACAAACAAGGATTGAAAGTTCTCTGTGTAGCTTTTTTTATAATGGCAATATTTTTTTTTCTATTACTTTATGATTAAGTAGACCAATATCGATATAATATTTATAATTCATTTGTCACAGTGAGCCGAAGCAGACTGTTTGAATTTATGAAGAGTGGACCCAAAATGCAGACACAGAGGAACGTGGAACCAAAATTTGAGTATTAACAAAAAGCGAGCCGTTTAATGTGGCTGATGAAGAAATGAAGAAAGTAATATATAAGGCAAACAAAGACAAGAATAAACAATAACCTAAACCGAGGAAACTAAAGATAAACATAAAAAACAAAAACATGAAAAAAAACATGAAACTTGGCATGGATACAAAGATACCTGGAACATAGAAATATGGCGCAAAAGACAAAAGATGGCCTGACACTGAACAAAGGAAGACAGAAGGCTAGTACACAATCAGATAATGGGGGGATGGGGAATAGGTGGGAACACAGCTGGAACAAATCAGACCTAACAAGACAAGGGGAAGCAAAACACAATAAAACAGGAAACGGCATGGAACGCAGACATGACAACATGGACAAGAAGACAAGAAACATGACAGACTAATAAGGAAGACATACGTGAAACATAACTAAACTTAAGGCAACCAAATTATAATCGTATTACACAACATACACTAAACAAAAATATAAACGCAACACTTTTGTTTTTGCTCCCATTTTTCATGAGCTGAACTTAAAGATCTGAAACATTTTCTACATACACAAAGGACCCATTATTATCAAATATTGTTCACAAATCTGTCTAAATCTGTGTTAGTGAGAACTTCTCATTTGCCGAGATAATCCATCACACCTCACAGGTGTGGCATGTCAAGGTGCTGATTAGAAAGCATGAATATTGCACAGGTGTGCCTTAGACTGCCCACAATAAAAGGCTACTCTGAAATATGCAGGAAGTGTTGTTTTCAATAAATTGCATGATCAAAAAAAATTTTCTTCTTAACATCCAACCATGCAACATATAATTTGCATATTTTTGGTGCAGCGTGTTTTGGGGTTTGAAAATGTTGAAACGTTTCTCCCACTGAAAACGCTACATCCAGATGAACAAAATAAACTTTTGGAGGTTTTGATCAGGAACTTTTTAAATTTGGTATTAGTCAGTATAATGAGGCTTTAATTATCTTTCCAGAGACTGATCTAACTCAGGGTCTCTCATCCAGTGTCCTGAGCTTTCAATGTAAGCTTTCACTTTCTGTCATACAGACTTCATCAGTGTCTAACAGTATGTGTATGAGAGCGATGTAATGTCCATGTGTGCGTGCTGAAAGAGACTGTGCTGGTCTGACCCCCCTCCTCCTTTCAGGGTGGAGCCTGCTGGAGGCCGATGGTTGAGACCAGGTCTGAGGAAGTGTAAGTGTGTTTTTAATGTGATTCATGAAAACATTCAACCATCTTCAAACTGTCACATCACTCATTCACATCTCTGATGTCAAGAGTCATTATCAAAGTGTCAATCAATGAACAGATGATGGATCAATAACTGCAGCTGGACTGTGTTTGTTCTCTCCATCAGATTCCTGTCAACTCACATTCGACACAAACACAGTGAACACAAAACTGAAACTGTCTGACAACAACAGGAAGGTGGCACGTGTGGAGGAGGATCAGTCATATCCTGATCATCCAGACAGATTTGACTTCCATCCTCAACTATTGTGTAGAGATGGTCTGACTGGTCGCTGTTACTGGGAGGTCGAGTGGAGAGGAAACGTTTATATATCAGTGAGTTACAGAAGAATCAGAAGGAAAGAAAATGCTAAACATTGTTTGCTTGGATGGAATGATCAGTCCTGGAGTTTGTATTGTACAGATGATGGTCCTCATTCTGTCAGGCACAACAACAGACAAACATCCATCTCCTCCTCCTCCTCCTCCTCTGTCTCTAACAGAGTAGCAGTGTATGTGGACTGTCCTTCTGGCACTCTGTCCTTCTACAGAGTCTCCTCTGAAACTCTGATCCACCTCCACACTTTCAGCACAACATTCACTGAACTGCTTTATCCTGGATTCAGAGTCTTGTTTGGGGCCTCTGTGAGTCTGTGTGGCATTTGATAAGAATCTTCACCTGTTTGAGATGCACAGAAGAAGAATTTAGAAAATACTCAGACATTCACAAGTTTAGTGAGCAGCCAGGCTTCAGCCTGATGTCTGATTGGGTGCGTAGCCTCCAGCTTACTTCCACATGGATGGCGGTCGTAGCTCAGGAGTAAGCAACATTTTATTTATATGGCACCTTTCAAGACAAGGATAACGAAGTGCTTCACAATAAAATTTAAAAAACGGAGCACTAAAAAAAAGACTTAACAAAAGCAAGTCTAAGATGATGAGTTTTTAGTTGTTTCTTAAAACAACTCACAGACGCTGTTTCTGGAAGTGTTCATGAGCCCATGCACTGATATTTTATTGCAGCGCTAATGAAGGTAATAGCAATCTCACTGATCTGAAAATGCCACCAAAAACGCAAACTCATGAGTTGAAGAGGAGTCGGAGGAGATCATGAAATCGCCAAATTTCATTTTGGACAAACTGAGCAAAGTGGCTAAACAGCAAGGTATGCTAAATGTCCTAATAAATGAGATTAAACAACTAAAAAAACCTGATAAAGGAGAAGGACAAGAAAATAGACGGCTTGGAACAGCGGATCGAGGGCCTTGAACAATACACAAGAATGAGTATTTAATCATAAGTGGACTAGAGATGTAACACTGAACCTACACCAGATCAACAGCTGGCAGAGGTAGAGACGGTGAAGATGCCCCAGCAGAGGAGCTGCAAACACTTGAACAGCAAGTGATAAATTTCTCCAAATGAAGAATGTGTGTATTCAGAGACATCATATCACAACATGTCACATGCTCTGTATAGATAGTAAAACAAAGCCCATTTTGAAGAAGCTAAAGAGGACTGGTGTGTATTTCCAATGAACATTTAATGAAAAAAACTGCTGAAATTGCAAAACAGGCACGTAGCCTGAAAAACAAAACAAGATATAAGCACCATGACCGAGGAACTGCAAAGTAATGATAAGACTCCTAAAGAAGTGAAAGTTCTGATAATAAGAGAACTCAGCGACTTAGATCAATACAAACGATCAGGAGTCTGCTCTTTACTGGAAATGTGATGACTGGATATTATGAATAATGGATGTGGAAACATAAATGACAAGGTTGGATTATATGTTTCCATGAAGAGGAAGACTTTGATTATGAAAAGGACTATCAAGGTGGTTATAATTTCTAATAAATACATTACTTTTAATATCGCTGTGTGGTTTTCATCTGTAAAGCTGAATAAGATCAGAACAAATGTCAAAAGAACAAAAGTGAGGGCAGAGGTAAAAAATGACATGATATTTAGAATCTGCATATATGATTCCCTATATACTTTAATGTTGTTACAAGCCTGCAGTAAGAACTGCAAAAACTGTTTTAAATAGTTGTATATAGGATTATTATTATTATTATTAGGATGATTATTACTTTGACCTTCAGCTCAATCATTGACCTTGAAAAAGAGGTCAGAGGTCAAATGTTGCATGATATTGTAAATCTTTCTATGGGACTTTCTATATGGTGACATTTCACACCACACTTGTAAGAATCACAGGTTCTGAGTTATGAGGCTTTTTTGTCAATTCTCAAACAATAACTCACTAAGCTGACCTTGAAGACCTCAGTGGATGTAAACCAAATTTTAATGGATTGTTAACACCACCCCAATCTCCAAAGTTTTATCAGAATTCATTCAAAACCTTTTGAGCTGTCAGTAGCCACTGGAGGGTGCTCTAACACTGCAGATAAACTGGAGGAAGACCTCGTTAGCTCATTTGGTTATAACTAGAACAGATATAACAGTTGTGTTTCATAAAGATGCTGAAAGTACACTTCACACGTCTGATGACATGAAGCTGTTTTTCAGACTTCCTTAAACTCCTCCTGAAACACGAACACACCGATATGCATATGTGTAGATTTCAGAGGGCACACGGGGGACACTCAAACATGTGCACATCCTAGTGTACATTTTAAGTAAACCACACAGAGATGTATTAAAATGAATGAATCTATGAGTGATGTGACTTGGTGACACATTTAATCAAAGTTAAATAAAATCAGCTCGTTTTCTGGCTCAGGATGAATTTGATTTTAGGTGTTTGGACCTCCTCGCTGTCAGCAGGTGTTGCTGAGTGTCTGTAAATCCTTGTTGTCTCTAAACTATGCTGCAGTTAGTGATGAGTGTGCGTTCATCCATACACACCGAGCTTCCTGCCTGTGTCAAGGAGCTGCTAATTAGCCTGTGTGTAATTTTCATTGTTGCCAATTACAGCCAGAGGGGCTCTGTGCGCGTGTGTGTATGTGTGTGTGCGTGCGTGCGTGCGTGCGTGCGTGCGTGTGTGTGTGTGCGTGCGTGCGTGCGTGCGTGCGTGCGTGCGTGCGTGTGTGTGTGTGTGTTTACATTCAATGCTAACGAGCCGGCATGCCTTGCCAAGCGGTTGACCCACTTCCCAAAAGGAGGTCCCAAAGGACTAACACACATGCGCACACACATACACACACAAAACCACAAAGTAGTGGGCATGTCCATCAGGTCACATGATCACATCTCTCAGCCTCATCTTGAATCTTAGGGTTGAAGGACTAGTTTTGCTTAGGAAGCTGACTGAGGTGGCTTCAATGTTTCCTTTATTATCTCCCTTAGCAGAGAAAACACTGGAGCTTCTCTGAAAAGAAAGG